GATAGGATGGATGAAGTGGCTCTTTGTATTTCACAAGAGCTCTCTTCTGGCATTCTTCGCAGGTCATACAATATCTCTCGACGTCCTTATACTGTCCTTCCCACCAATACAGCCTACGTACCTATTCGTAGGTCCCGCTGACTCCTCTATGTCCTCCGACCACCCCGTCGTGAAGCTCCGCTACTATCATCTGTCTCTCTTCAGGATCACAGACTACTCGTAAAGGCATCCCCGACCCTACTGGCCTTCGGAAAAGGTGGCCCGCTCTAAGGCAGTACTGGGCTGCTTGTCTCCGGATATCTAAATCTTGACTCTCCTCTCCCGTCAGGTGTGGTCCGATCATTCGGTACTTGCCATCGTAAAGATTAACTAGAAATCTCTCGGCGCGTCTCGGCTCTGCCATTGTCAGGGCTCCAGCTACTATCGGGCGCTCGCCCTCAGGAGGGATCCGAGAGAGCCCATCCGCTACGACATTTTTAGTGTCAGATATCCTCTCCACGGTGTAATCATATAACCGAATCCGTATTAACCATCGTGCAATGGTCGGGTCTGTCAGGCTAAAGTCCTTCTGGAGGACAGAGGCGACCGCTGTGGGATCCACTCTCAAGATGAACCGTCGTCCATAGATATAATGTTTGAACGTGTCTAGACACCGCAGAACAACTAATAGTTCCTTCTTGAATTGACTGTAGTTTCGCTTTGCCGTATTAAGTGTCCTACTCTCAAATCTTAATGGTTTTTCCTTCCCTTCGGCGTCCTTCTAAGACAGCAACCCTCCTACCGAACAAGGCCCAGCATCCGTGGCTACTATGAAGGGTCTCCCAGCCTCATCATCAAAGTACGGCATGCCCAGTACGCGTCCTCCCTCCTTAAATTCATCTTTAAGCTCTTGCATAGCGAGTTCCTGCGAGGAATCCCAGTAGAATTTCTCAGTTTTTCGAAGGAGTAGTCTCAATGGCTCAGCCTTCTCTGCATACCCTCGTATGAATATTTGTCAGTGACCGACCACTCCCAGAAACTGCTGGACCTCGGTTGGACTATGTGATGGTGACGGCCAGTTCAGGAGTTTGTCTAACTTCGCCGGATCTGCTCGGCGTCCCCTCGAGTCACAGATAAAGCCCAAGATCTTAATAGTCGAGACGGCACATCGGCTCTTTGTTCCGCTGACTGTTAGATTCGTATCGTCCAGCTGCTCGAGTACCGCGCAAATATCCGTTAGGTGCTGCTCGACGAATCTTCTAACTCCAGGTGCAACCTCTGCCTCATCCTTGTTTACTGRCCCTTYTATAGGAAAKTCATCCARAAAAACTTCAACCTTATCAGGGATGAAGTCCTTGAGGACGGYTACCATGRCTCTYTGAAAAAYGGCTAYCCCATTAGTCCAACCCATAGGGACAACCATCATCTGTATYAGTCCCAATGGCGTATGCATAGCCGTGAGGTGCCTGTCTCTAGGGTCAAGYGGTACCTCATCATAACCTGAGAACATATCACAGACCGAATAAATCGACCTACCTGTGGCGCCTTCTGCCAGTAAATCGGCGTGTGGCACGGAGCCCACGTCTCGTATCGTCACCTCGTTGACCTTCTGAAGGTCCTGGATCCATCGGATCTTGCCATTCAGCTTTCGTAGGAAGAACCATCGATTAGCATAAGCGCGATCAGACGGCTCCGCAACGTGGGAAACCATCTTTTCTTTCAGGAAAGCGATAACTTCATTCTTCTCCTTCTGGGCGTATTTCCATCCCGCGTCATTCCAGGAACATGTGGTATCGTGTAAATCCTTGCTGACTTAGCGTATCGAAGGTCAACCCTACCGCGCTCCGCGTCACTAAAAGCTATGGCCATATCACATGTCTTCAGGATTTCTATCACACGTTCTCGCTCATGTGGAGTCAAATTCTCATCTCCGATGTCCATCCCTGCTATCCTTTCTTCCGTTAGGCGTTGCGGCCCCTTTCTCTTTCTTTCTTTGATTTCTTTCGCGATCTCTTCTTCCGATATCCCTTCCAGTGCAGATCGCTCGCGGCCCACCGCCGCTGGCTTAACTTTTTGAGCTACTCGTTTGTGTCGCTTGGGTAGCCCCTCATAGGGGGCCGTGCCCTTAAAAAAAACACGGATACCACACCGCCAAATTCCTCTTTTTTTTCCTTTGGGTACGAGTTGCCGTCCACTATTAGCCGACTCCCTAAATCTTCCACCTCCACGATCCGACGTTCTTCCTCTGTGAGCAATGGTCCATATTTCTTCTCGCGAAATCGCACCGCGCGGCCGGAGATAGGTGACGACTTAATCTGATCACTGGGTCTTGCATCGACAGCGAGAGCTGCTCTGTTCCTCGGGTCCCGAGGCTCCACTGTCTCAATCATTACCCGTGTTCCGTCAGGCTTCTTAATGGACAATGTTTGGCTCCCATCAGGTCGCTCTATCGTCACCGCATGCACGTGGCTCAGCCACGTTCGACCCAAGAGCAGGTCGGAGCTGCAGTTCTTGATTGCAAAGACAGGCAGGGTCACTCGTACCCCTTGGACCTCTATGGCTGCCTTGTGATAAACCCCAGTGATCTGTTGCTTTCTCCCATCAGCCGTCTCTATCTCGAATAGGTATGACCTATCGAGGCCCAGTCCAACCTGTACTGCCAGGTCCTCGTCTATGATGACAGCCTCACTGCCGTTATCGATCACAGCATCGAGTACCGCTCCATCGTTTATAATCGTCTCCACGGCCCCGCTACCAAATATATAAAACTTGTCTGGAGGCACACCTTTCATTCCATCGAGAAGGACTGTCGTCATGCGATCCGCTCTGGCAGTCACCCCCGTTACTGCTATTGTAGAAGCTTCCGCCTTAGGGGCCCCCCGACCCTCCTCCGATAGAGGTATGCGAGTCTTCCGCGTGATCATCTGTAACTCATCACGAGCCGGCTTCGATGCCGCCTCAGGTACTCCAGAATAGAGCACTGCATGGGTTGCCGAAGGGCCCGCCTCAGTGGCTCGACCGTGTCAATCTCGTCCAGCGAACTCTTCATTAAGAACTTCTTTACTCCCCGCTTTCGCGGCGAAAGGATAACCTCCTCTCCATCGACCCGCTGCCCGTCCTTCTCCGCCATCACGTAATCCGTGTCAGTCTTCTTCGATGTGGTGGCTGCTACCCTTATGGGTGTGGTCGCCATATCCCCCTCAAAGGTTATCTTGATGCTCTGGCTCCTAACCGGCTCCTTTTCTTTACTCGGTTTTACTCTCCTTGCTTCGACATTCTCCTTCATCGAAGGGAACATCAATACATCTCCCAGACCATCTGCCCACTTGACGTACTTTCGGTCGTCAAGCACGACAAGTGCCTCATCTATTGCCCGTTTGAGGTCCGGGCAATCCCTCTTGATATGATCTTCTCCTCTACAGTAGACGCATGAGTTCCTGGGAGTAGATGGCCTGTCGTCTGCGCTTCTAGATATCGAACTCCTGGCTGCCTTGGGGTCAGGCGACTTGGAATATGGTTCTGATGAGACGCCATATCCCCCTCTCTCATTCCGACCGCGCGAATCGTTGCGGCGGTCTTCTCGTCCGCGCGACCCATCTCGTCGTTCCCAGTTCCGATCTTCTCTTTCATACCGACCACCTCTGTAGCCATCTCGACCCGACCTCTCGTATCTGTCATCCCTATATCCGTCTCGGTCCGATCTCTTGTATCTGTCGTCCCTATATCCATCTCGGTCCGTCTCTCGTATCTGTCGTCCCTATATCCATCTCGTCGGCCCTGATATGTCTCCCATCGGCCGCGGGAGTCGCCTCTACCGCGATCGACCTCGTAGGGAGGGCTTTGCGGGTAATTATCCAGCCTCCTTGCTCGCGCAAACGGCTCGCGATCTCTGCGGTCTCGGTCTATCTCATCATCCCTACGTCGTCATGGCTCATCGTCTCTCTCTCTTCCCCTCGTACGATAATCAGTCAACGTCCGAGGATTTCTATCCTCGACACTCCTCCAGGAATCGTTGTTCCTACGGTCCCAGCGAAGTGAATAGGGCCCTCCAGGTTTGTCCCGGTAGGCCGTGGCCCCTGTAGTGGTCACAATCTCTGTAACCTGTTTCGTCAATCCCTTCACCATGTCCCGTATCTCCTTCACTTCCTCAGCCACGGCCTCATTCTTCTCCGACCAGGGATAGTCCTTGAAATCAGGACATCTATCCGTGACATACTCCTTGTAGAGAGAGAAGTCACGTCTCTTCATCCCTTTCCACACCAAGTCCTTGTAATCGTCTGCCTCTGCCTTTATCGCGAGCTTTAGGACTTCTGGGAAATCAAGCTTGTCGCGCGGAAGATCTCTGAGATCTATTTTGCCTACCTTTGGACAAGTGTCCGATGAAGATAGTACAGCGCTCGACCTCTGAGATCTTCCCCTTCTTCATCAGCACGTCGGAGATCTTCTGGAAACGCATCCCAAATGCCCGTACGCTCTCATCTTCATYTTGAGTCATTGTTTCAAGGTCCTTGATGAAATACTTGTTATCCTCCAATTTGTAAAGCTCAACGAGGTTCTTCTTGTACGTAGTCCATTTTCCATCTTTCGGTCGAGCTTCCTTAACTTCCCTATCGAGACTTGGGTCCATATTAAATAGGAAGTTCTCTATAATTTCTTCCTCCGACCACTGACTCCGGCTGGCGTGAAGCTCCCACTTCTCCAGATATTCTGTGATACCATAGCCCCTGAAGGTAGGAGGCTCTGAGGCCTTGTGCGTAATAATATAACGATCCTTGCTCTCGTAAGGGAGCGGATGTGACTCCCCTGTCTGGGGGTCGAAAACTCGCCTGGGCGGCGCATTGTCTCTATCTCTGTCTCTCCAATAGGAATCCCTCGAACTCTCTCTCCAGTCGTCTCTGTGCCTGCCCGCTATGGTGTCCCTCCGCTCGTACTCGGGGGAGCGTCGCCTCGTCGCTTCTCGTCGTCCGCTCGAGGTACTCGTCTTTAGAGCCTCCTGCGGCTCTGTCGCAACTGGTTCGCCCCTTACGTCGGACCCTCCGTCATTGGTTTGGTCAACCCATCTCAGCGGTGCTTCTCGCCTAATTCGTTCCTTCAGATCCCTCAGAGCTCGATCGGGCGATGTCCTGTACTCCTCTCCCGCTTCGCCCGTGGTCGGTTGTGGCCCCATCGTGTCGG